TTTGCTAGATACTTGATTTGAATTAGTAAAGCAGGACTAAAATCATCCCTCTTTCTCTGGACTAAAGACTGTATGTGACAACATCAAGCAAGTAGTATTTGAACACATAGCAGCTTGTTTATATTTTAGCACGTGAAGTTCCTAGCAGCTGCATTGGGTTAGTATATGAGGGTCCTGATGACCTTACAAAACTTCAAGATACGTGGCTCATGAGAAATGAAAAGAAAGGATTGCTTTGGAAACAGACATCCAAGCTGAAAATAATCAATAGAATCCACATTCTGAAGAAAAAGAGCATCTGTGAATTTCATCTGTCTTCAACAGTCTTCCAGCAGCCATGACACTGAGAGTTTAACTACACTTCTTGCTATAACCCACATTAAGAGCAGCAATACAGGCAAGTGGTTAATTATATGTAGCAGTAATTTAGAGTGGGCTTATGTATTGCTTATTTATATGAGAACTAAAAGGTTGGAATTCCTTGTCTGGAGTGAATGAGGACAAATCCACGTTTCAGTAGAGAGTTGCAACGCAGCAACATTTTAGTTACTTTGACCATGGTACTGCCCTTCCTGATTATCCAAAGATCTCAACTACTTGTCCTTCATGTTCTCAGTATTCTACAGTCAAAATACAGGAAACTTGCTTACGGCTAATATGGTCACAGGTGATCCTACTTCAGAACAACAGAACTCTTCACTAAACAGATAGTTACATTCTTAGATTAGGTGTTGTGCTATGTCACATCAAAAGCAAAAAAAAAACCACACCAGTCAATCTCACTGTCAGTAATAAGTATATAATGAAAACAGAATCGTAAAACGGCTTGGGTCAGAAAGGACCTCAAAAATCATCTAGTACCATCCCCCCGTCATAGGCAAGGATGCCACCCACCAAATCAGGTTACCCCATACAACCTTGTCTTGAACACCTTCAGGGATGGGGCATCCACAGCTTCTCTGGGCAGCCTGTTCCAGTGCCTCACTACCCTTACAGTGAAGAATTTCCTCCTAATGTGTAATCTACATCTATCCTCTTTTAGTTTAAGACCATTCCCTCTTGCCCTATCATTGTCTACCCAAGCAGAGTCCTTCTCCATCCCTTTTATAAGAGCCCTTTAAGTACTGAAAGGCCACAATGACGTCTCCCTGGAGCCTTCTATTCTCCAAGCTGAACATCTCCAGCTTCTCAGCATTTCTTCGTAGGAGAGGTGCTCCAGCCCTCTGATCATCTTCATGGCCCTCCTCTGGACTTGTTCTAACAGGTCCACATCTTCCTTGCGCTGGGGACCCTGAACCTGGATGCATAGTGCAGGTGAGGCCTCACGAGGGCAGAGCGGATGGAGGTAATCATCCCTCAACCTGCTGGTCATGCCTCTTTTGATGTGTGTTGGAAGAAGCCAGGTAAAGGCCAAGATGCAGTTGGCCTTCTGGGCTACAAGCATGCACTGCTGGCTCATGTCAAGCCTTTTGTCCACCAGAACCCCCAAATCTTTCTCCACATGGCTGCTCTGAATGAGTTCTTCTCCCTGCCTGTACTCATGTCTGGGATAGCCCCAGCCCAGGTGCAGCACCCTGCACTTGGACTTGTTGAACCTTATGCAGTTCACATGGGCACACTTCGCCAACCTGTCCTGGTCCCTCTAAACGGCATCTCTTCCTTCTTTGCTATCAACGGCACCACTTAGCTTGGTGTCATCTGCAGACTTGCTGAACATACACTGGATTCCATTGTCTGCATCGTTGATAAAGATATTAAACAGTACCGGACCCAAGACAGACCCCGAGGAACACCACTCGTCACCAGCCTCCACTTGGACATAGAACCATTGACCACAACACTGACCCTCTTACAGTGGGAGGGACTCTGCTCACCCAGCCCCCAGCTAGAGGTCTGGGGACTCAAGAGATGTGGGCAGCCTGACCACCAGTGAAGACCAGGGCAAAGAAGTTGTTAAGTACCTCAGCCTTCTTCACATCTGTAGTTACCAGTTGTCTGCCTTCATTTGTCAGAGGTGGTATGCTCTCCTTAGACTTTCTTTTGCAGGCAATGTACGTGCAGAATCCCTTCTTGTTATTCTTTGCATGCCTCACAAAGTTTAGTTCTGTCAATGCCTTGGCTTTCCTGATCCTGCACATCCAGACAATGTTTCTATACTCTTACTAGGGCACGTGGCCCTGTTTTGACCATCTGTGCGTTTCCTTTTTTTGCGTAAATTTGACCAGCTGTGCCTTGTTCTGCCATGCCAGTTTCCTACCTTCCCTGCTTGATTTATTACATATGGAAATAGAGAGCTCTTGCACTCTAAGGAAAGTATCTTCAAACAGTTTCCAGCTCTGAAAATATATTTCACCTACAGTTTTGCCTGCAATAATATTAAACAGAATTCCAATTGTTGTGTTTTTTTCCTAGAACTAGTAAATGTTTAATTCAGAGACCAAATAAATCTCTGGCTTCATCTTTGTCAGTAAACTAAAACAGGTTAGGCCACTTTCTCCATCAGTACTGCTCAACCACCAGCAGGTCACAGAATACTTTGGGCCCACTGTGGTGGTTTTACTCAGGTGGGCAGCTGAGCTCCACCACAACTGCTCTTCCACTCCCCCACCTCAAAGGGAAAGGGGAAGAAAATACGATGAAAAGGGCTGAAGGGTTGAGATAAGGACAGGGAGATTGCTCAACAATTATTGTCACGAGCAAAACATATTCAGAGTAGGGAGATTAGTAAAATCTATTGCCTGTTACCAGAGAAATGAGAAACAAAGGAAAGAAACTAAAAACACCTTCCCCTATCCACCTTCTTCCACCTCCTCCCCCCGAGCGGCTCTGGGGAACAGAGCACTGGGGGTTGCAGTCAGTCTATAGCACTTCTCTTCCACCGCTCCTTCACGGTCACTCTCTGACCCTGCTCCAGTGCAGGGTCCCTCCCATGGGATGCCATCCTTCCCAAACTGATCCTGCGGGGGCTGCCCGCAGGCAGCAGCTCTTCAAGAACTGCTCCAAATATGGGTCTATACCATGGAGTCCATCCATCAGGAGCAAACTGCTCCAGCTTGGGTTCCCCACAGTCTGCAGCTCCTGCCAGGTCACCTGCTCCTGTGTGGTCCCCTCCCCACAGGCTATAGCTCCGGCCCAAAATCTGCTCCAGCAGGGGCTCTCCACAGGCTGCAGCCTCCTTCAGGCCACATCCACCTGCTCCACTGGGGATTCCTCCACGGGCTGCAGCGTGGAAGTCTGCTCCACCATGGTACTCCATAGGCTGCAAGGGGACAGCCTGCTCCACCAGGGGCCTCTCCACAGGCTGCAGTGGAACTTCTGCTCCGGCACGTGGAGCACCTCCTCCCCCTCCTTCTTCACTGACCTTGGTGTCTGCAAGGCTGTTTCTCCCTCCTCGCTCTCCCAGCTGCTCTTATGGAGCAGTTCTGGTGTTTGTTTGTTTTTGTTGGTTTTTTTTCCTTCTTAAATATGCTCTCACAGAGACACAAACAAGATCACTTACTGGCTTGGCTCTGGCCCACAGCAGGGCCCTTATCTAACATGGGGCAGCTTCTGGATTCTTCTCGCAGAAGCCACCCCTGTAGCCCCCACTCTAACAAACTTTGTCACATAAACCCACTAGACCCAGATTTACCAGCGTTCATAAAGATACGATATATGATATAAAGAACGCCATGTTCATTTTTCACATAAAACATGTCCAACTGGAGTTATTGATGGTAATGACTGGTAACATATTCCACAAGTTGCTGCAGGTTTAAAATTGTTGCTGAACCACAATGACAAATTTTCCCTGTTATAACCAATATTTAGGTTGTGTACACAACACAAAACAATGAGCAACCACAGTTGACAATATACATCTAATACTGTGAGCTGCAGACATAAGAAAGGGCTGCTTTTCTACTTTCAGTTTTAGCAGTAGTGCCATACAGAATCCTCCGACTGCTGTATGTGTGAGTTCATAGAAGTGGCAGGTCAAAATCAGGAAGGACCTTCTATACATTCATATTCACATTACTAATAATACTATGAATCGCTGATTTTGTTTTCCAGCCTTTCTTTTAAAAGACAATAATTAAGAAAAGAATGAACCAACACTTTCATAGTACCTTTTTAGAAAACATCTTTACCTGTATTTTGCCAGGAAGGAAATCAAGACACAAAAAATGTGCGAAGTGACTTGCCGAATTCACATATCAAGGCAGAAATGAGATGTAGAATCCCTAACTACCAATGGCTGCATCACATAACTATAATACAGAGTTCTCAGCCAACACTGGGAAATCAGCTGTTGACTGCCTAGTTCTAGAAATGATACTAGCAGGTGGCAGCACTGGTTCAATAAATCACAGTTACATAACATCCTCCAGAAGTATTTAATGGGAGCTAAAAATAACCAAATTCAATTACTCCCACCTGAAAAGGCCTATCTTTTTTTTTTTAATTCCTATCCTGAGCAACCATGGATTAATTTCCTCACTTCCACCACCAAAAAAACAAAACAAAATAAAATATAGGCCCCAACCTAAGGATCCTGTTTGTACTTTCAAACTGGTATGAGACATCTACACGTTAAAACAATTCATGGTTTGTGGGTTTCCTGATTTGTGTGTGTAAGTGTTTGGTGTATGTTTTTATTGTTTTTTTGTTTGTTTTTTACACACACAGACAAAAGGAAATAAGGTAGTAAGGATAACTACATCAAGTCACTGCATCATGGACATATCAACGAGTTCATTTTAGGAAGAATCCTGAACAGCAGAAAACACTTAATCTACCAAATCCTTAAATGCCTTACAAAACGCTCAGTAAAATAACCCAATTGCTTCATGGGATAGGGCACACACTAATAAGCTTCAAGATTAGACCTTTTATTTGCTGTGCATTCAAAGAGGAAAGTGGATGATACAGTACTGAAGAAATTATAGACAGCTACAGGAATAACCTAACCTATAACCTAATAAAACCTGATGGATATCACTAGTGCCAACAATACTTACCAGTTCGTAGTTGCTCTGAAGAAAGCAAGGTGTCACCACCTAGAACAAAAAACAGTAATAAAATAAGGAAAAAAAATTTCTTCTTCTGCAAACGACCTAAATCTATTTACTGAGATCCCTCAAATACTGTCAAATCTAGGCAGAGTCAAAGGGGCACTAAGCAGACCAGGTGCAGAACAGGAGTGTCCTTGGCTGATCTTGGCTACATTGCTTCCCCTCATCTCCCAGAATAGTTAAAAAAATATCGTGTGCTTTGCTGACATACTGTAAGCAGTGAAAAAGGTTCAAGGGTAATTCCTTCCTTCAGGTTACATATGCAGGGAAGCATGAATGGCTTTTTTCACCACCACTACACAGCCTTTGCAGCATTCTTCCAAGATCATCTCAGTTTTAATTAGTAAGTAACTATTCTGCTTTTTAATGAGTCTAGAAATCAATAATTCCCATTATCTTTTCTTTGTGCTAAATTTTGTTATGGGATGTGGGCTGAGCAGGGCAAGTAGAACAGATATTTTGTGGACTAACATAATTTCAGAAACTTGGCTCCAAAGACCCAGAGACATAAAACTGCAAGCAGTCACATCGGCTTTGAGGCAAGTAGATATATATTATGTTCTCTCTCACCTGAAAATACTTACATTCATACAACATATACAGCAACAAGTTAAATTCATATGAATAAATATGTAGAGTTCCCTGAAGTTAAAACACTTCTTAACATGTTCTATAGACATCACAAAAAGAACTTTGAATATTCAAAAACAAAAAGAAAGCAAGGAAAAGCATGACCAACTAGGATTACGTAACAATCTAGGGAAAGCAAATATTAATTTCTCTGTACATGTATGGGGAGCCCATACAGCAGACATAACATGTATAATTGAATGACTGTGGCTCATCAATTTACTCCATTTAGATGAGCTTCAGTAATAGAAATCAAGAATGCTCACTTTAACAAATACCTTGAGGTTAACCCCAAGGAAAGCAATTTCTTTTAATATGTCCAATTTCACACTTACAGCTCTCCTGGACAGGCTCACCACTCAGACAGCAGCAGGGAGCCAAAAACTCTATGACAACACCTGAACTACAAAGAGAATTTTCTCTAAGGAATTGACCTGTCCTATCAGCTCTTAAGGCACAGTACATGGAGTGGTTTACAGAGCAGGAGCATGACACGTCATTTATAATCCTTAATAAAAAAGTATCACAGAATCACAAATTGTTAGGGATTGGAAGGGATGTTGAAAGATCAACTAGTCCAATCCCCCTGCCAGAGCAGGAACACCTAGATCAGATCACACAGGAACACGTCCAGGCAGGTTTTGAATGTCTCCAGAGAAGGAGACTACACAACCCAGCTCCCCAGGCAGCCTGTTCAAGTGTTCTGTCACCCTCACTGTGAAAAGTTTTGCCTCATATTTAAGTGGAACCTCCTACATTCCAGCTTGCACCCATCTGAAATGTATTTGAAGAAGCCTGTTGTCCTTGACCCCTCTTGCAAGGTTTAATTCTAAGGAGGCCTTAACTTTCTTAGTTGCATCCCTACATCCTCTGACAACAGTCTTATATTCCTCCCAAGTGGCGTGCCCCTCCTTCCATGATCTCTAGTCTCTCCTCTTCCACTTGAGTTTGCCCAGCAGTTCTCTGTTTAACCATGAAGAGCTCCTGGCTCCCTTTCTTGACTTCCTACCTGTTGAGATGCTCTGATCCTGAGCTTCAAAGAAGCAGTGCTTGAATGCTAACCAACTATCTTGGGCCCCTTTACCTTCAAGTACCCTGCCCATGGGATTTTCCCTAGCAATTGCTTGAAAAGGCCAAAGTTGGCCTCCCTGAAGTCCAGGGCTGCGATTCTGCTCAGTATTCTGTTCCCACCACATGAGATCCTGAACTCCACCATCTCATGGTTGCTGCAACCAAGACCAACCTCAACCTTCACCACTTCAACCAGTCCCTTTCTTGTTAGTGAGGACAAGATCCAGCATCACTCCTCTTCCAGTTGGCACATCCACCATTTGCACCAGGAAGTTATCACCAATGCACTGGAGGAACCTCCTGGACTGCAGATGGCTGGTTGAGTAGGCCTTCCAGCAAATGTCAGGGTAGTTGAAATCTCCCACAATAACCAAGGCCTGTAATTGCAAGGCTGCTATCAACTGCCTGTAGAAGGCCTCGTAAACTTCCTCATCCTGATCAGGTTGCCTGTAATAGACACCCACAACAGTATCCGCCATGCCAGCCTGCCCCTTAATTCTCACCCAAGACTCTCAACTCACTCCTCATCCACCCCTGGATGGTACTCAATACACGTAGTTGCTCTCTCATGTAAAAAGCAACTTCAGCATCTTGCCTTGCTGGCCTGTCTTTCCTGAGAAGGACATACCCATCCATGACCACATTCCATTTCTGTGAGCTGTCCCACCACGTGTCTGTAATTGCCACCAGATCATAATCTCCTGACTGAACATGGATTTCTAACTCCTGCTTATTCCCAGTGCTACGTGCACTGGTGGACAGGCACTTCAGGGAGTGAGCTGAGCACACCAATTTCACCCTAGGGGGGGTGGGAGGCCTCCCAGTCTTCATTAATGCTAGAACACTGCCCCACTGGTGCAAGCCCAGCTACAACCCCATCCCCCTCTGAATCTAGTTTAAAGCTCTCCAAACAAGCCCTGCTAATTCCTGTCCCAGAACCCTTTTGCCCCTGTGAGATAAAGCTTTCATGCATATTACTGTCAGGCCTGGGGTCTTATAAAACCAGTCATTATCAAAGAACCCAAAGCCCTACTTGTACCATGAGTCACGTAGGCAAGCATTTACGGACTATTCTATTCTGTCCCACGTCATCACCCCAAATTGGAAGGAGGGAAGAGAAAACTTGTGCCCCAGACTCTTTCACCAACCATCCCAAGGCCTTGAAGTCTTTCTTTAATCCCCTCAGACTATGGGATGAAGCTTCCTCCCCGCCTATCTGGAAGATCAGTAGCAGGTAGTAGTCTGTCAAGTGCACCAGGTTGGGGAGCATCCTGGTCATATCCCTGATCTGGTTTCTACGTAGACTGCAGACTTCCCTACGATGAGGGTCAACTCTGCATATTGGGCCCTCTGTTCCTCTCTGAAGGGAATCTCCTACTACAATTACCCTTCATTCCTTCTTACTGGAGGCAGTCTTGAGGCACGGTGTTGACTGCCTACGTGACCTCATAGGCGGGCTTTCCACCACATCCTCACCAACCTCTCCTTCAAGACCCAGGGCCTCAATCCTATTACTGAGGGGCACCTGGGGAAGCGAGTTAGGTAGGGAGGGGGGTTGCCTGTAACGTTGAACAGGGACTTGCTTCCAACCCTCCTCATCTTTTTGGTTCCCTCCCTCTGCCTGACAGTGACAGTGCAGGGGCTCCACCACCCTCTGGAGGGCACCTCCTGGCACGCTTCTCTCTGACATGCAAGGGAGTTAACTCCACGAGGCAATCTCCTGCTCACACACCCTGATGCTCCTTAGTCTCTCCACCTCCTCCCTGAGCTCAGCCACCATGGCGAGCTTACCTTCCACCAGAAAACAGGCAGTCTCCCCGCTGCCCTCCCCCGGCAGTGGCAGGCTGAACAGCCTCATCTCTGGGCAGGCCCTGCGTCTGGGTCACCACAGCCTTTTCTGAGTGAGCCCTCTGCCTAGTGGACACCATGGTAGGTTTGTAATCTCGCAGACTGCCGTTAGTTGGTGCAGAGCTCCCGCGCCTTGCCACACCAGCAAACCGCTAGAATAAAAAGACACATCTAGTCCTGCATGCAGCACAGACAAAAAGAGGCAAACCTGGTTACACCAGAACAAGCCACTCGGGTCTTAACTCGGAAATAGCTTTTAACCAGCAGCATGGGAGGGTTGGCATCTCCACAGACGGGTCCTTACTTGTGAAAGAGATACACTTCTAATTCTCAGCTACAGATAAAATATTACACACTCATGTAATAATTGGAATTGCTGCAGAATAAAATTGTCATCGCTGGATCACATAAATATAATCTGTTTTATCCCTTCTCTCTGCTGTTAAACTCTGTTAAAGAATCATCTACTTCCCCATGACTAACCACAATACAGCTCTCCTATAATCTCCTCAATAATCAGCTGTGATAATTACAGATGACTCACTGCCTAAGAAAAAGCCCCTTTATTCTGACACAAGACCGCTAGGGACATTTGCTGTCCCTAAAATAAATAAAAAATAATAATTAAAAAAAAAAAACACCAGCTTTTACTGATCTTTTTTGGCAGATCTGTAGCATCTTATTCAGGCAATTCACCCAAACACAGGGCTGTGAGAAAATGGGAGTTAACATAAGGGTCGACAGTTCTGTAATTATTGCTCCCCTGAGTTTCACTATGCCTACAATGCCTGTACATTAACCTGACTTTACAGACAGACTCCACTTTCTTCTGGTTGCAGGTCTTGCACTGTTTCTTTGTTTCACAAAGATCAACACCCATGTGAGATGGTACCACTCTGGGTCTACCAGTCACATAATACCCTTCCCAGTGTATACAGCAACCTCTTTGCCCTTGCACACTGTCTTTTATAACTATGTTGTCACTAAGCTGCAGACCACTCAAATGCATTATTCACAGCCAGACTTGCATGTGCTGCTACTCTTTTCTAGCTACTTGACTTAATGCAAGACACACTGAAGAGCCCATGTGCACAGACCTTTTGTCTGAATGCACATGCACAAATAGCATATTTCTTCTCAGATGAAGGAAAACAGTCAAGTATCCTGATTTCAGTTCTACCAAGCAGTTTCAAGAAGTTCTTCTACTGTTAATTCAGATATAGGTTAAAAGCAAAGTGCTGACGTGTTCACAGGGAGGCTATCATGAGGTCCAGACAACCAGAGTCGAGGTTATATGAATTGCCCTAATTCTATTTCCTGGTTTTGCAAAGGCTTGAGATGTGCTAAAATTAGCATTCAGAGGAAAAGTATACAACTGAAAATCAAAATCGCAGGCTTCAATTTAATACAAATCTGGAGACCAAAGAGAATGTATA